CTCTGCCAAAGCTGAACTTTAATTGGACCTGGCATATGAAGATTATGGAATTCCCTCATCTTAGATGCTATTAAAGCCGATATTTCCGGGTCTCGTAGGTCGGCAGCTGAGAGTGTCTGACAAACAAAAATAGGAGAAAAGATACATGTCATACACAACTTGAACGCTTACTCAATTGGCTTTGATCAGTTGGTCAACCTCACTTCTCTATGAGCTTTTAAGATGAGATAGATGTCGTTATTTTCTTACAAAGTTTTGTTAGCTGCCTTGGTAATGTAATGATGATTTCTAAAAGTTTCAGAAACATGACCATCTTCTGTCCAATTCCATGACCAGTCCTTTTACTCTGAACTGGGTTTCAAGCATGGTTTTTATTTCTTTCATTAGTGTTTAAGACAATTCAAACTCTTGTACTTCTTGAGGTCGCATGGAGCATCAAGTACTTTTGCTTGTTCAGAATTAGTTATAAATGCCAACTTTAATTTCAAAATCATACAACATTTTCTCCAAAATATGCCAACACACACACACACATATATAAGTGGACCCTTAATTCATCAATTATCTGATAAATTTACTGAAGCAAGTGGTCCCTGGAAGACAGAAGACAAGGAGCTTTCAGCCAGACTTTTTCCAGGGCTGATATTTCCACGTATGAATAAACATATTTTTTCACTTATCAATTTCAAGGAACTTATCCTTTTGTGTCCTTTGGCTATTACCAAGGGCAGAAATTTCAGAAGGGAAAGGAAAACCTTGCAAAGGAGTTTCTTAAAGGGAAAAGAAAATAGAAAGAGAGGAACACGGCGCACAAAAAGAATGGTAAATGAAATACAATGAGAGCCTGAGGGCACCTGATACTTTTGTGTTTTGAATGGAACTTTTGAAATCAACTTCTTGGAGAGGAATCTTAATAAATTCTAAGGCTCTCTTAACACTCATTCTAACCCTTCATTTCTCCAAAAAGAAAAGGGCAAGAAAAAGAAGAAAAAGAGAAGAATCATCACCAAAGGAAAAAACCTTTGACCAAAAAAACTAAAGAACTTTGAGAAATGGCATTCAAATTAAACCCATGTTCTCTTAAGCAGAGACCATGTATTGAAAATTTTTAGGAATATGCAGTTACTTGTGTTCTTGTGATCAGTTCTCAATAGGAAGTGTACAGTTAAGGACATGATTCTTTACCACCGCTATTTAATTATAGAGGTATTTAGTTAATTTGGATAGATTAAAATTTTTTGATAAATTAAATAATTATAACAAATGTGACATGATCAGATAGTTGTAAGAGAAGAAAAAAGTTACATACTCTGGCATGGATGAACTCCTCAACCCGACCGGTGGAGAACCGGCCAAGGAGGCGAGGACCCTGGCCGTGCTTGGAGATACACTCAAAGGTCCGAATTTCTTCTTCCCTATTGAAGAAAATTTCAACACCTTCACCGTACAAACGAACCAGAACTTTTCTGAGAGAATCACCGTTTTTGGTTGGCCAGTTTATCTGAAAGACTTCATTGGTCATGGCTCCCTTCAAAGGCACAACCTGCAAGGCATCCATATCATCTGTCACGTCTCCTAATTCTAAAGCCACCGATGCCAGAACCTCCATTATCTCTTCTGGTGATGCACAGCCTTTTAGCAATTCAATTGTTTTTATGGCCATTTCGTCAATCGAATCTGAAGAAAAAGTTAAAAAAACAACAATTAATCATCCATGCATGGTTATTATAACACAAAAAGGTTAGAAATCTGAAAATCCCAGTAAGAATCTGACTTCAGAAATTTATCAAGAAGAGGAAAGAAGTTCCATTCAGAGCTTGGAAACAGGGGAAACAGGATTCAACATAAAGAAAGTTCACTCGTTGAATTATGAAGAACTGGGATTTTTATTGAAGAATCCAGAGGAGAGGGAACATCACAAATCATAAATTAATATTTAAAAAAAACACATCAAAAAGCGTAAGATTAACAGAAATAAGAAGCAGAATCGGGACTCTAGAAACTTACCGGGAAGAAATAGAAGAGTCAGAGCTTAGAAGCAGGGGAAACTGGGATTCGATAACTCGTCAGAACCTGTAGAGTTTCAATCAAGAATCAGTGATAACAAAACCTGAACAACTAATGACAAAGAAAGAAAGAAAGAAACAGGCTGGAACAAAACCGACATAAACTAAAAGTTAGAATCCGGATTAGACTTACCCAGAAGCTAGAGAACAGGGGAAATTGACAGATTCAGAAAGGCAGAGATACAAAATGAAGTTAGATAGAAACCTGAAGAAAACCAAAAAAGACAAAAAAAATTAACACAAAAACTGAGAACGAGGTTGCGTCAAAAGACGACAGATCGAAAACACAAGTGGGATGATGAAATCAAAGAGAGGGCGAAGTAAAATTCTTACCGAAGAAGCAAAAGGAGAGCCAATAGTAAAAGAGAGTGAGAGATGAGTCCAAGAAAGCTGCAGAGAAAGCAATACCGACGCCTTTGATCTTTATGAGTGACGAAGTCAGACGTAGAAATGGAAGAAATCCACAGACGCAATGAACCAATTTTATAAGCACTCTCCATTATCGTCGCATTGCAGAAAAAATTAATTAACAAATTAAATTAAATTCAAAAAGTCAGAATTCTTCATGACGCGGAATCTGTCTCCATCCCTACTACGGACGGCGACGCGTGCTAAAATGGATCTGCTTGGGGCGCGTTCCATGCATTGGCCAATAGAAGTAGTACACGTGGGGAGAATCGAGTGGGAGTTGAATCTTCTACAAGATTCTCCGATTAGTGGTTAAAATTTGCTTACAGTTAAAGTAAATAATAATGATAAATGATGATTAATGCCTCCATCTTTTCACATTTGGACTTTTCAAAGTTGACAATAAATATGTTCAAAATTAATGGTGATAACTGCCTTACGTGAATTCTCATTTATTACTTGGGCTGTTTTTCACCCATATATTCTATGGATGTTAGTTATAGTTTGACCAATGAACAGTTTAATATTTATATACCTCCAGTCTTTAATATAAGATCTTATTTGATTTTTATTTTGATCCTAAATACAAGACATCAATCTACTTTGTCTCTCATATTTATATTTTTTTTTTCAAAATAGTCCTCTTAACAATAGTAGTTATAGCTAATAAATTTAATTAGCAAGGATATTTTAAAAAAGACAACATATATTTATTACAAATAACTAACCTAACTTCTTTCCTTAATCTCCTCAAATTAGTTAACCAGCTCTTATAATCAAGACCGAAGGTAGTATATGATTATTTAATTAACACTGAAATGAATGTTTTTCATCAATATTAAATGTTTATTGGTATTAATGATAATTTCTCCAATCAGTATTTGGGACTTCCGCCATTTTATCATGGATGTTAGATAAATTTTCCTTTGATTGCCAAGAGAATCCCAAAAAAAAATAGCACAGATTTGTTTCTACTTAATTGATAGAATCAATTATCTGAATTTTTAACAAGATATATTCGATAGTGTTAGTAATTGAACTAATATACTGTAGGTCTTAAAAATATAAATGAAATTATGACAAAAAAATTAAAGATGATGTTATGATTTTATTCAACATGTTATTTTTAATCAATTATTGTCAAAAGTAATTTGTTTTACCAGCATTATCATAATTAATTCTAATTAAAGTGATGGTTTTTCACTTTAATTATTTTTCCATAAGCATCTTGGCAGTTATGGTAATTACGTCGTGCACAATGTGAAAGAGAAGAAAATAAGTACTACCTCCGGTCCTAATTATAAGAGTCAGTTGACTAATTTGAGGAGATTAAGGAAGTAAGTTGACTTAGTTATTTGTTCTAAATAGGTGTTGTATTTCCTAAAATATCTTTACTAATCAAGTGTATTTGACTAGAACTATCATTGTTAGAAGGGCTACTTTGAAAAAAATATATATAAATATGAGAGACAAGGTGGATTGGGATCTTATATTTAAGACTAAAATAAAAATCAAATAGGATCTTATATTAAGGATCAGAGCTAGTAGTAAATAACACAGAATATAGCTGGCAAACCACAAAAAGGAAAAACAAAGACTATAAATTTGTCGTATCAATAAGGGACATTTGAAAACGAACGAAAAATAAAAAGAAAGTCAAAAGTGTTTGGTTTAATAATCACAATAAAATTTCATATTAAAATAGTCAAACTCAAAAGAATCGCCTATTGTGGATAGAAATGACGCCGTTTCGAATCAGCTAACGTGGCTCCACTGGACTTTTCCTATAACGTCCAAAACACCAAATACAATTTTTTCAAAAAAAAAATTATATTACTTTTCTCAAGATTTGATTTGATCATACATAATTTTTATTTCCAAAATTATATTAAAATTTAGCATTATTTAACATGTAAGTTTTAAAAATATACAGGTGTCACTCGTGGACTTCATACTGAAAAATAAATATGACATATTATTGATAATTTATTCAAGTATATATTTTCAATTTATTGTTGAATTTAAATCGAAAACACTTTTTTTTTAAAATCAATCTGAAGCATTTTCTCTTAGTAGGAGACACTTTTGTGCTTATAAAATTAATAGTCAATGAAACTAATTATTTCTTTTGTCAATTTGGAGAGGGAGGAAAAAGGGCGGGATGGATAAGTCAATATGATTTTTAAAAAAATTAATTAAAAGAATTGGAGACATCACTGTCTGGCTAGCTTAGAGGGATGGATAAGTGCATTTTTCATTTTGATATATTTTTTTTCCCTGAACATTTTTCATTTTGATATGATGTTTGGTTTTGTTGCCCAACGGTTGAAAGGGAAAGGTCGGTTTTTTTTTCCCCTTTGGTGTGTTCATTTTTCAAAAATACCGGCTAGGAATATTGTTAATAATATCATCAATCATTTTCGCTAAACAATGCTATATATATAATATACAGTAAATATATTATTGATATTGTGGTTCATTATTTAGAATTCATACAATTAAATACTGCTTATCAATCAATATGAAATAGGGAATTCATAAATGAATATATTGTTAGAAAATTATAAATCTTGTGAACATAAAAATTAGGTTTAGATCTATAAATTCGCGAAGGCCACCAAAAAAGATCTATAAATTGGCCCTAAGATAACTTTATTTGCACGCTTTGTTTATTAAATCATAGTATTAATTAAATTTGTTTACATTAAGAAAACTAATAGATAAAAAATATTATAAATGGATTTTATATTTAAGATCCGATAAGTAATAATAATATATATATTTTTCAATAAGTATTGAGACACAAACAATCCACTAGTAATTACTGTCATATATATTAAAAAAACTAATAAAAAATTGTTAATATTCATGTTTTTCAAAAATTTATTACTTTTTTGGTCTTATTTTTAAGGTAAAAAAATTTTTGTTAATCTTATTTATAAGCTATTTTTTCAGATTTTTAACATGAATGTATTGTTTTACCTTTCATTTATTAAAATATAGATGATTTTTTTAAAAAAAAGGTGTATATGTTAAATAAAAATAAAATTAAAAATTATTATATTTTAGTAAAAAATCAATATAGTTTAAGACTTTTTTTGTATGGTATATGTGAAATGTGAACCATACGATATTACAAGATATTTTTTGGGACAAAATCAGGACTCACCGGCCACAAGAATCATTCGTCGGCTCCTGCTTTATGGATGATGCGGCATGCGGGTCCCCAGAAACGGGTCTCTCCCGTGTTGCCACCGATTTTTTTATTTCTTTTCAAAATTTTCCCTATTTTTCTGCCCATAAATTATTAATTTAAATGTAAGATTGACTTACGCATTTATTCTCGTATCTTATCTTTTTTCAATAACGTCCTCCTTTTGTGATCCTTTCGCCAGATTCATGTCGTTTTAAAGCTTTATCTATTGTTTCGATGTTATCGAACTATGCAAGAATACAGTCTTCTAGTATTACCTCGCTCTTAATTATAAGATCTTATTTATAGATTATAAACAAGATCTTATAATTAGAACCGGAGATAATATTATTTATTATAAGGCAAACAAAAAGATATCATCTTATCCTATTTGTAAATTGCATCATTAAATTTTTAACATAAGCATACAATTTTAACTACAAACTGGATTTTATATTTAGTATTGAAGCTAGAATTAAGTAGAGGTAAATTCAAAATATGTTAAATTTTGAGATAAAGTTGATAAGGTTTGTGGTTTCTTTAATATATGAAACATACTAAAATTGACTTATAAATAGAACTAGTTTGATATATATATTTTTTTTAAGAACCTTACTTTCCAATAAAAATGCTATTTGTTAATTTATTTAATAAATTTTTATGTAAAATAAGTTTAGGTGAATTGCTATTAATATAAGTAATTAAGAAATTTTGTTGAGTTAATACAATTTTTAATCCCACAAGTTTGTCTTTATTTTAGTTTTGGTCCCTCAAATTTTTTTTCATTTAAAACATTGATTCATATAATCTAATAAAAATTTGAATCATTTTGCCTTTTGAGAGATAAAAACCTATAGTTTGAAACTTGAGAGAATAAAACTAAAATAAAAGCAAACTTGAGAGACGAAATATTATATTAACCCAACTCTATTATAGTTATTTTTGTACATTCAATATACTATAAGGGAAAGAGGAATACATAGAATTCAATATAGTATAGTAAAATAAGAAATTGAAAGATGTTGTTGAAATTCTTGGTTTGGAAATTTCCTGAAAAGCTAATGATACGTTCTTCTCTCTATTGGAATAATATGGTTGTTATGCTCATTACAAGACTTGTTGATAGATAAAATATAACCAAGATATATCTTTTTTTTTTTAATTAAAGATTGAATCAATCATCATAACAAGAATTGGGTACAAAATTAGGATACATTAGGGAAAATAAAACTTCCATCAAAGAGAAGCAAATGAAAGTTACAGGCACTCACTAAAGTTAGGAAATACTTTCAGGTTCAAATGGCATTTACAAAGGTTTTTATAGATTGAGTACTAATAAAGCGTTCATATCGGCAGCGGGTTTAGGTATATAGTTTGAAATGGACATAAACATTATTTTTATTCAAAAATAATTGAAATAAATAAATAATTCTCTGATAATATTTATAAATAATATTTTTATAGAAATTATAAAATTCTATAACTAATTTTATTTGTACTTTTTTTCCTTGAAAAGAAGTCAATTTCATTATAACAAAACAAGATAATGGTAAAAGTTTCAACTGGATCAGTGAAGCAACTCAACATAGACCTAAACAAGTAATTGTGAACAGACAAAGTTGGAGATTTATATTATTATTTGTATTGTTATTATTAACAAATTTTGACAAAGAAATAAAAAGTATGTTTAATACTAGCTATAGTCTTTAATATGAGAGCTAGTTGACTAATTTGATTAAATTAAAAAAATTAGTTAAGTTAGTTATTTATAATAAATATGTATTGTCTTTTCTAAAATACTTTGCCAATCATGTTTTTTAACTAGAATTACTATTTGATGAAATATTTAATAT